TTAATGGATTTTGGGCCTTTGTCAAAGATCAGCTGACTATAGGTCGATGGATCTATATCTGGGTTCTCAATTCTATTCCATTGGTCTATGAAGATACATAGAATATTTTAAATTTATGATCTTGTCTAAAGCAACAGCATATTCCAGCTGAGCTGTAAGATAACAATTTAAAAATGAACCCTCGGTTACTGGGTGGTTTGGGATGTTTTTAATACAAGGGAATACACTACTGTCAGTACTGAGTATGAACTCGAGAATTTGTACTTTATATAAATAAAAGATTATTTACTTATGCTACTAATACTGTAGAAGTTTCGAGTAGTACCTGGTACTGTTTTTGCCCAGAGAAGGAGCCTCGTGGCACAGTGGTTAAGAGTTTGGCTGTTGACCAGAAGACTGAACCTATTAGCCATTCTGTGAGAGAAAGATGTGGCAGTCTGTTTCTGTGGAGATTACAGCCTTGGAAAGGCAGCTATACTCTCTATTATATACTCAGTTATCATCAGTATTCTGTTATACTCTATAGAATTGTGGGGTTTTTTGTTTTTGTTTTGCTCAAGAAGCCCTGCTGTTGGCAACAGTTAAGCACTCTGCTGTTAACTGAAAGGCTGGCAGTTCAAACCTATCACATGGCTCAGACCTGGCAATATGCTTCCATAAAGATTACAGCCTAGAGAACCCTGTGGGACAGTTATACTCTCATATTAGGTCATGAATTGAAAACTAATAATGCTGCCCATGAAGCTAAATTCTTGTAAGACTGGTTTTGTTAATACTATAAAGCATATACTTGGAAAATGTTTATTAGATCTAATCATTCTGTGATATGCCATATAATTCCATTTACTACACTTCTGTTCCACTCCAGGATTTCTAGTTAGAGGCATCCTAAAAGTCTATTTCTGTTGCACTGACAGTATTTTCCAGTGCACATTAACACTTGATAGAACAGCTAGAATACTTTTGACTAGTATTGCCTCATCTTGAACACTTAACCTTCAATGAAGCAAAACTAGTTGCTTTATTGATGCTTTTGAATTGTGGCACTGGCAAAGAATACTGAAGATACCATGGACTCCTAGAAGAATGAACAAATCTGTCTTGGAGAAAGTGTAGCCAGAATGTTGTTTAGAAGTGAAAGTGGTCACTTTGTCTCCAATGCTTTGGTCATGTCAGAAGGGACCAGTCCCTGAAGAAGGATATCGTGCTGGTGGGTGAACTAGAGGGGCAGCGAAAAAGGGGAAGACCCTCAAGATGGATAGACCCAGTGGCTGCAACGATGGGCTCGAGCATAGCAAAGCTTGTGAGGATGGTGTATGAACCAGCAGTGTTTTGTGCTGTTGTATACAGGGTCTCTGAGTAGGAGCCAACTCCATGGCACCTTACAACAAAAACAGTTGGTCTATAATAAAGCACGACATTGTTATTTACTTTTCAAAAATAATTTTAAAATCCTGGATCCCAAGAAGTCTTGGCTAGAACTTCTTTTTCTTCATAACAAATCATCTCATCACCCACTTTAAATTCTATGTTTTCTTCATCCAAACCGAGACCACAATCCATTCCATTTTTGATAACTGAAACATCATCTTTATGGTGTTTCAGTGAGGTTAATGAACCTTCAAAAACAAAAAAATTGAAGGAACTTAAGGTTCACAAATAAGTAATAAGTGCTATATGTCTGATGTTGAAAATTAAACCGAAATCCTTACAAATTTTACAAATCAAACATTCAGGTTGCCAAATAAATGCTTTTGAAGAATAAATTTCTGAGACCTAACTACAATAAAGTGTATATCCAATACTAGAGTATTACAGATCTTAGCAAAATTATAAATTTTGCCAGATGAGGATCCCTCATATTAAAAGTGGGACTAAATAGGTAGGAACAAGAAAATGTGAAGTTTACTATAAACAAAAGTTGATGTACCAAAAGATACTGTATCTCTCAAGGGTAGGTTAAGACTTTGCAAAGGATGAAATTATACTCAGGACTTGAGAAATGGGAGAAACCAAGATAAAGGAAATGATAGGCAAAAGATCAAGTTAAGGAAGTAAGCAGTGTATCAAGGGTGGAAGATGGCTGGAAAGGTAGTGTAAAGGCAATCTCAAAAGGCTTAGAAAATCAGATTGGGGAACTAATCCTGGAGGAGTCATCAGTGTTAGGGAGGGAGGGAGCTCACTGAGACCAATTATGATTCTGGGACTTAAAGATAAATCAAATGGAACAGAATCATCAGGTTTTGGTGACTGGATATGATGTGTCTGGAGATGAGAGTGGCTTAGGTCTCCAGGTTAGGTGGGTGTCTGGGCAATCTCCAGCCACTAGTCCAGACAAGGAGCATGCTAAGAGTTGATTTGGGAAAGGGGAAGGAAGATGGACAAAGTCTGGGTGCGTACAGGATCAGCAGAGGCCAACGAGAAGGGGATGGTCAGCAATTTAACAGAGAAAAAAATTCTGATTTTACTTACCCTTCCAAATAACATGTCCATTACGGATTAATTTAAATTTCTTTTTTTTTTCCAACTGTCCCTTTTGGACTCTGCAACCAGCCACAGGAACTTTTTTCTTCCCTTCTGTCACAAAGAAGGTAGCAAGTACAGAAGCCTCACCTTTAAGAAGAAGAGAACATTAAACATAAAACTAAAGATACTGAAAAATAAATACTTTCTGACATTCTGAAGTGCAAGAACTAAAATTATGTATGTTGTTATGGACCCTCGAGTAGGACCCAACTCACAGTGACCCCTCCTTGGGTTTCCAAGACGGTATCACTAAGGAAGTAGTTGCCCAACCTTCCTTCTGAGGAGTGGCTTTGAACCGCCAACCTTCTGGTTAGCAGTCAAGTGCCTTAGGCACTATGCTACCAGAGCTCCTTAAAATTATATATAACAATGACCACAAAAAAAAAAAAAAGAGTAGCTGCTTGAGCTGCTTATGTACAACCAAAGACCTTACAGGATTTGTCTCATTGGTTTGGAGGCTTAAAGTCATGGTTTCCCGAGATAGCCCAGTTAATTAGCCTAATATCATGGTTAGTGCTTCTGTTCTACCTCTAGTTCCTTGCATAGAGCCTGCAGTCTTAAAAGTTTGCAAATGGCTATCCAAGTTACAACAGCTGATCTCTATTCACCTAGAGCAATGGAGGAAGGGCAGTCAGGAACAGGAGGAGGAAAAGGAATGTGAGGCTAATTGCTTCCATGAACAAATGTCTCCTTTGCCAGAAGACCAGAAAAACCAGATGGTGCTTGGCTACCATTACTAAATATTTTGATGAAAGAGTCTATAGAAGAATCCTGATCAAAAGGGGGAAAATGAAACACAGAATTTGAAATTGTCATGGAATTCAGATTTTCTGTAGCCATGAGGTCTGCATGAACCCTCAAAACTATTGCTGTGGTGGTTAAGTTTGTGTGCCAACTTGGCTGGGCCTGGTTGAGTGGCCAGGCAGCTGGACATAGTTATTCCCCATGGTAAGATTGGTAATTAACTCCAATCTATTGGAGGTGCTGAGTAGCTGCTTTAGGGATGTGGTCTGCTTCCTGTATATAAGCAGCAGCTTTGGGAATGGTTTCTAGCTTATGGCATGCTTGAACCGTGCATGTAGCTGAGTTGTTGTTCAGCTGCTTTCCATGCTCTGCCAATCTTAGGACTTTTAACGGACTTCAATTAATGCCTTGCCGTATTGTTTGGTAACTGTGCTGTTTTATTTGTCAACCTTGGGCTTGTCAGCCTCAGCAACCAGTAGGTGCCCGAGTGAAGAGACGCCTCTAGCTTCAGTGGGCCAGAAGCAAGAGGCAGAGCTGAAGCCCAAGGTCAAGGGGCTTTCACACAGCCCCTAGAGCCTGGCGCTTTGAACTCGGACTTCTAGCCTCCAAAATTGTAAGAATAAACCCCTGTTTGTTAAAGCCATCCACATTTGTGTTGTATTTTCTATTAGAGCAACACAGAGGTAACCAGAACACTTGTCAACCTTGGGCTTGTCAGTCTCAGCAGCCAGCAGCTGTTTGAGGGAAGAAAAGCCTCTAGCTTCAGTGGGCCAGGAACAGGAGGCAGAGCTGAAGCCCAAGGTTGGGGGGCTTTCACCCAGCCCCTAGAGCCTGGCACTTTGAACTTGGACTTAAAGCCTCCAAAATTATGAGAATACTGTTTGCTCAAGCCATCCCATTTGTGGTATATTCTTGTCAGGGCATCACTAGGTAATCAAAACAATTGCCCTAAGATAATCTTTAAACCTTCTACCAAAAATATCCCCTGAAGTCTTCTCAAAACTAAACAGTAGTTTAGCTATAAGTCAGAATTGACTTGACAGCAGTGGGGTTTTTTTGGTTTATAAAGAATCTCTGACTTGAGTGCTGAGCTCTCTTGAGATCTATTTATGTGAGATCAAACTGACAACAGCAACTTGAAAGATTAGGTAGAAAACTTAGCAGACAGTGAGTTCATGTTAATGAGGAAAGAATAACTCAGAAAAGGAAGGTGAGAATTGTTGCACAACTTTAAAATATAATCAATATTGCTGAATTGTAAATGTAGAAAATGGTTAAATTGGTATATGTTCTGCTGTGCATGTTCTCAACAACAAAAAAAATTAATGGAATTTTAAAAACCAAATGAAAAAGAAAAATTAGATAGGAAACTTGGGGGGAAGTGAGTTATGTTACTTGGAAAAAGTAGGTGGGAATGGTTGCACAACTCAAATGTAATCACTGTCACTGAATTATACATATAGAAAATGGTAAATTGGCATATGATCTGCTGTGCATATTCTCAACAACAAAAATAAAGTATGTACAAAAGAAAGGTGTATGTAAGAAAAATACAAACTTATGTATAGAAAGTAGTACTGGTTTCTTTGACTCCACCAACTTTATTTTCCTGACCAATACTGGTAATAAAAACTCCTTTAGGATTCTGAGAAAAGAAAATAATCACAAAAATATACATTTACCAAAAAAGTGAACAAAAAATAATGGAAGTCACTCTTTTTGCTGAATACAATACAATAATAGCTAACAATGTTGTTAGGTATACTGAATCTGTTCTGAATCATAGTGACCCTATGTACTATGTACCACAGAATGAAAACACCGCCCGGTCCTGCACCATCCTCACAATTGATTCCATCCTCACAAATGATGCTATGCTTGAGCCCATCATCATACCCACTGTGTCAATCCATCTCATTGAGGGTCTTCCCCTTTTTGGCTGACCCTCTACTTTACCAAGCATGATATTCTTCTCCAGGAATTTGTCCCTTCTGACAACATGACCAAAGTATAAGAGATAAAGTCTAGCCATTCTCGCTTCTAGGACACTTTCTGACTGCACTTCTAAGACAGGTTTGTTCATTCTTCTAGCAGTTCATGGTACATTCAGTATTCTTCAGAAACACCACAACTCAACTGCATCAATTCTTCTTTATTCATTGTCTAGCTTTCACATACATATGTAGTGTTGTTGCCAGGTGCCAGTGAGTCATCTATGACTCATAGCAACCCTATGTACAGCAGAATGAAACACTGCCCGGGTCTGTGCCAGCTCCATGATCCCTGCTATACTTGAGACCATCATTGTAGCCACTGTGTCAGTCCATCTTGCTGAGGGCTTTCCCCTCTTTTGTTGACCTTCCACTTTACCAAGCATGACATCCTTCTCCAGGGAATGGTCTCTTCTCACAACATGACCAAAGTAGGCAAATCAGCTGCACTTCTTCCAGGGCAGATCTGTTAGTTCTTTTAGCAGTCCATGGTATTTTCAACATTCTTCTCCAACACCACAACTCAAAAGCATCAATTCTTCAGTCTTTCTTATTCATTGTCCAGTTCTGACATGCATAAGAGGCAACAGATAATACCATGGCTTGTGTCAGGCACATCTTAGTCCTCAAGGAGACAACTTTGCTCTTCAGCACTTGAAAGAGGTCTTTTGCAGCTGATTTGCCCAGTACTATAAGCCACTCCTTGGAAGGAAGGTTGGGCAATCCTACCTCCGTAGTGATACTGCCTCGGAAACCCAAGGAGGGGTCGCTATGAGTCGGGGCCGACTCGACAGCAC